GTGTGAGAGATGTTTTACAGTGTACAGTAACTTGGCGATCTGAGGTATACCCCTCTCTTGTCCTACTTTGCAATGGTGGGTAGATAAAAAAAAATGGAAGGTATGATGTAAGAGAAATTGCAGGACAAAATGTATTGGCAAAGGAGTGTGTCCTCCAGTCATTTTATCTGTCTCTTGGCGCCTTGACTCCAAAATCTGTGTTGTATAAAATTGACTACGTAGGGCAAAATACATAGCACCAATTTACAAAAAGATAGTTGTATGGTCTATTCATAGAGTCCAAGTTCAAAATTTCACCCCAAGTTTTATACCATCTGTAGAACTGGAAAGCCCACTTTATACATAACTTTTTTGTGATCTAATAAATGTGTGGCTTAACTCAGAAATTTTCAATTGCATCTGTGCTTTCCTGTAATTATATGGACAAAAAGATTAGTTCCATCCTCTATTTGGCAGGCATTAGACCACCAGAATGTCTGCACAAACACCCTCTTGCCCATCCAGTTGCAATCTTATCAGGTGTCAATTATGTCCAGTGAATGGCTTGAGGGTCTATAGAAGTACAGTGTACCATACCAGAAACAGTGAAAATCCCACCCAAAAACAACATTGTGACACCTTAATGCCTATTGAGATTAGCAGCCTGCAACTTAAAATATGAATATCCCTTTACATTCTACATATCAACTGTGGCCAAAATCCTGTCAGGTATGTTTTGCTATGCCTGCAGAATAAAGATGACATCACCAGTAGAGGAACATTTTTGGTAATTAATCTGTGCTATTTAAATTTATATAATCTTCAGGAGAGACACAATCATGATGCACCCTACAATTATTGGCTTGTGAGGTCTGTTTTGCATTTGGAATATGTTTTGTGGGAAGAAGTTAAACTGGGATAAAGGGTTGAAAATATTAATGATGGGGTCAGGATAAAGAGGATAAGCTAAACTTGTCACATGAATAAAACATTCCTAGTTACTTGCAACACACACATTTTTTCTTGCCTCTTTTCTGCCCATTAAGAATCTGGAGAGCTTCTATTGATATTTTTGATCACCTTGGTTTAGCTGTCTCATTCTGCAGCTGGACAGATTGCTTAGGAGGTGGTATAGGTATGATTGTTAAATATAGTAGACCAATTGTTCATTAAGCAGCTGTCACAGTGCCAGAAGAGAAATTGCACAGCAAGCTAACCACCACTGCTTTTTATTTTTTAAAACGAAACCTGCTCCACAGAGATATCGAATGCAATAGTATGAAAGGCAGACATTAGTAACTAACTAGGACAAGTAAAAAAAGTTTCACTCTTCTTGATGATTTGGTTCTTTTGGCGCTTAAATTTAATAAGGGCTTACAAGAATAATTTATTTTTAGTTCTTTCTCTTTAATCATAAAAGCATGGGAGTTCTTTATTTATATGCAGTGCTCTGGTAGTCTTTGTTTAATCCTGCAAATCTTTATCAATGCTCTGAAGCAAATTCCGTTGCAGGGTGTTTGATTTCCATAATCCCTGCAGTGCAGACATTTATATTTTATGTGAATTGCTTTAGAATCCTTTGAAACACAGAGATTTATTCTCTTACTTTGGAAGAGCAGAGATGTTAAAAAACATAAAATTTGTGCCATGTCACTGACTTTTGCAAGGCCTTTTGGGCCATCACTTTTTAAATATATTCTTCTGCAACTATTTGTGGCTACTGGGATAAGGGAATGTGGTTGCACAAGAGTAGACAAGAGTTAAAAAACACAACACAAATTAGAGTTCCAAATGGAAGCTTAAGCAAGCTTGGAAAGAATATATGTTAAAATAAAAATGATTTACTTCTAACTCTGCAAAATCATTTCTAGAAGATGAGCATTAAGTGCTACATTTGTGTTCATCCAATGCTCATCAGAGGATTCTGACAGAAGGGCTCAGTGCAGCCACAGAACCATCCATATGAATGAAAGGAGACCATGATGAAGAATCACACATACAACATTTCATTCACACGAGTCACCACAAACACAATGGCTCTTCATCTTAGTTTACATAATCAGTTGATTACTATCAGAAACACAACAACCACTGCAGATAAGTCAACTGAGGTGTGCTGTATGCATAAACTCAGCACTGAGCAAACGGTATAAGCATAACCTTGGGATTAATAGCAGTGCAGTGGTACCTTGCAAGATGAATGCCTTGAGCAATGAAAAACTTGCAAGACGAAAGTGTCTTGCGAGTTTTTAGGTGACTCGCAAGACGAATATATTTTCATCTTGCAAAGCGCGGTTTTCGATAGGAATGCATTAAATTTAATTAATGCGTTCCTATGAGCTAAAAAAAGTCTGAAAAAGTCACTTAGCAGGTAGGGAGCTGGGGAAGCACCATTGGAGGACTGGCGCCCCCCCCCACGTGGCTATCGCCGCTTTCAGAGGCCTCCCAGGGCTTGCCAGCACCATTGTTTTGAATTCCCCCCTTTTCCCCTGCCTTTTTCCGTTCGGAGGCTTGCCCAGCACCATTGGAGGACTGGCGAGAGACCTCTGAAAGTGCTGATCACTGCAGGGGGACCCCCACCAGTCCTCCGATGGTGCAAGGGAAGCCTCCGAAGGCCTCCGAATCCAGCAATCATAGCAAGGGGGCCCCGTCAGTCCTCCAATGGTGCTTCCCCAGCTCACTACCTGGTGACTTTTTCGGACTTTTTTGACCCAAAGGAATGCATTAATTAAATTTCAATGCATTCCTATGGGAAACCACGCCTTGCAAGATGAAAATTTTACAAGACGACATGACTCACAGAACGAATTATTTTTGTCTTGTGAGGCACCACTGTATACAAGTTTCTGAAGCCTTGAAGACCTCATGTGATAGAATTAATAAGAATGTTGTACTTGGGCTGGGAAAATTTTCAAGCCATGAAGTTTACTATGCAACTTTGGGCCAGTTACCATCTCCCAGCCTCATCTATCTCAGTAGGATATTTCAAGAAAAATAATATAGCAGTAGAATATGCCACTCAGGATTACCTCTCCTCCGTGGTCCACTCCCCTAATGTTCAGTTAACATCTCTACTTGTTTATATAATATTTCTGTTTGGATGTCCCACTTTCAGGCCAAAGCTAACATGCCCTGTAAGAAATAACTTACTTTCCCCCCAAGTCTACCCTTCTCTATTCCTTTTCTTATCTACTGAAAACAGTAGAAAACTGAGCAGGAAAACAACTTCATCTTTGTCAGTGATTCATCACTCCTTTAGCTTTCTAGTTCGGATATGAAGATTTCTTGCTCTTGGTAATTTTCCAACTGTCACCATGCCATAACTTCTCACAGGGATTTGTCCCTAGATCAGTGATATTCCTTGAATTCCTGCAAAGATGAGGCCCTCCTTTTCTTTTATTGTTCACCTGTTCATTTTACACAAGAAACTGCCATATTCTGCCCTTTCTGGGCTCTCCTGTGCAAAAAACAAACAAACAAAAAACCCAAACCCTGTATTCTGTGAAGTTGTCGTAATAATTTGACACAGACTGATGTTTCTTCTGGGGGGGGGCAGAAACCATGAAAGATCTGAGAAACTCAAGATTTACTGCAGAAAGAAGCTTTGTGCAGAGAAATTTCATTGTGATAGCAAGTTACAACTGGAGTAGCCCCACTGAATCAATGGAACATACAAAACAGTTAGCTCATCAAACTACCACTGATTCAATGGACATGCTCCACCTATGACTCACTACTAGATTTCAGTCACTGTTCATTAAAATGTAGACAGGCAGGGGCTGGGACTGCAAAACCAAGTTCTTCAGCATGCACATTAGATCAAGGAGACATGAATAAAGGAATGGAGAAGGAATAGCCAGTTATTAAATGTCTGCAATAATTAGCTATAACAGGACAGTCAGAGGAAGACAACAGAGCTGTCTTAAACAGCAAACATATGCAAAACTATCTGGAGTTGTTACAAATTACCAGGAGGAAAGCGATGACAAACCTAGACAGCATCTTTAAAAGCAGAGACATCATCTTGCTGACAAAGGTCTGCAAAGTCAAAGCTATGGTTTTTCCAGTAGTGACGTATGGAAGTGAGAGTTAGACCATAAAAAAGGCTGACCGCCGAAGAATTGATGCTTTTGAATTGTGGTGTGGGAGGAGACTCTTGAGAGTCCCCCGGACTCCAAGGAGAACAAACCTATCCATTTTGAAGGAAATCAACTCAGAGTGCTCACTGGAAGGACAGATCCTGAAGCTGAGGCTCCCATACTTTGGCCATCTCATGAGAAGAGAAGACTCCCTGGAAAAGACCCAGATGTTGGGAAAGTGTGAAGGCAAGAGAAGGAGATGACAGAGGATGAGATGGTTGGACAATGTCATTGTGACGGCTGTGATGATGTCACCCGCCTGTCACTGCTATGGCTGGAGTTTATCTACCTATGGCAGGACAGGAGGTGGGACTTTAGTGGGTGGAGTTAATGTATATAAGGGGGGAGTGAATGTGGTGAGGAGAGATTTGGGAGATGGGAAGATGAGATAGGGTTGAGATAGGGTTCGGTTACGAACTTGGTTAGGGTGTTAGGGCCTGTTTATTCATGTTATGAGGTACTGTGCTAGTGTAGGTCTGAATGAGAGAGTGATTGAGGGGGATACTTTATCACATTGATTGCCTTATTTAGTTTCCACAGGGATTTACTATTATTTATGTTTTCTCAATAAACAATCCTTTTTATTTTGAAATCCATACCATTGTCTGATGAGTCAGATCAATAAGTGTGGTTGGTGGCAGCATGAATAAAGTGTGAATGAGATTGACGTGACCATTGTGACATAAAAGGAGGATGTCACAGTCATCAAAACTACCAACATGAATTTGACCCAACTCCGGGAGGCAGTGGAAGACAGGAGGGCCTGGCGTGCTCTGGTCCATGGGGTCACGAAGAGTCAGACACAACTTAACGACTAAACAACAACAAAATGCTGTAAATATTTCAGTGTCAGCCTTTACAGTCATCATATCAGGATCTTACCCTTCTCCAACGACACCTGACTTGTGTGGTGAATATTTTCTTTGTTTCCTTGATCAACAGCCATATCAAGCGGCGAGGGAGATTGTTTAGATGTGCCAGAGACTTGTATTGTCTCCCTTCCCTTTTCCACAGTTGGCATTTGGCATGACCTGTGAGTCCTAGAGCTTGCAGATTTTATTACCTTTGGGAAAACAAATATACACATTTATTTTTCAAAAATGTATACATAAATAAGAAAGGTGGAATGCCAACAATTAGACCAAGCCCCTCTCCCAAACTGGAAAACTAATACAAAGATAAAATTTTACAAAATGATAGCAGATGAACCAATATCAACTTAAAAGTATAACTATTGGAGAGTAGGAATTTAAACCTCAAATGCTAAAATCTATAGTACCTACAAAGTTTTTTAAAATATGTAAAATAAGTGAAAAGATTTAAATGTTGGAGAGGTCCTTGAAGTAGAGACCTTGTCAAAAGCCATGGTGAAATCAAGATATATTACATCCACAGTATTCTACTCTACCAAGCCTCTAACTCTATCTAGATTAGTCTTGTATGGCTTGTTTTTTAGTAACCCAAGTTGATTATTAAGTAATCATAGACCAACTGTTTTAATCAGCTGTTTTAGAACCGTTCTTGCTACTGACTGGTTTATTCCTTTTGTTCGGTGCTGTCAAGTCACATGGTGACCCTAACAAGCTTTTTAATATGTGAGGTATTTGAGGAACAGTTTTATCACTGCCACCTTCTAGTCAGTTTTGATGACCAAGCAGAGATTTTAACCCAAGTCTCCTAAGTCCTTGTCTGTGACTCTGTCCATTATGCCACACTGGATCTACAGTGGTGCCTCGCTCAACGATTTTAATTGGTTCAAAAAAACCCATCGCTATGGGAAAACATCGCTAAGCGAAACGTGTTTTCCCATAGAGATGCATTGAAAACCGGATAATCCATTCCAATAGGAACGGATTATCCGGTTTTCTCCCCCACCATTGGGCGCAGCGCTTTCGGAGAAGCCTCCCGGTGGGGGGAAAGATCGGATTAGCTTCAACTTCCTTCCCCACAGCCCGGCTCCTCCCAAAGGGCTGCCCTGATTGTGCTTGCAGCAGCGGAGGATATGCCTGGTGGCGGAGAAATGCCAGATCGGCTCCTGCCTTCTCCCCCACCGGGCACCTCCTCCGCTGCTGCAAGCACAATCGGGGCAGCCCTTTGGGAGGAGCCGGGCTGTGGGGAAGGAAGTTGAAGCGAATTCTTCGTTAAACAAAGCAATCGTTAAGCGAGGCACCACTGTAGTTGCTATTTGCCCACTAATGGCTCCAGGTTTGTTCTTAGGAACTAAGAATATATCATTACCTCCCCTGATGCTTTTGTGCTGAATTTCCGGCCTGAAGGTGGTGGCCCAAAGACCTTAGATCCAAATGCAATGTGAGATACATCTTGATTTTTACTGTTCCGTGTGGTAGCTGATCTTCGGTTTATTGGATGGTCTACTGAAGAACAAGAGAGACTATTAAAAGGCTAATCTTCAGAAGAAACTGATGACTCGAAAAAAATTAACATTACAAATCATAGGAATTGTTGTAAAGACACAAGCAATAGCAAATATTATTTCTACAAATGTGAGGAACAATTTATAATAATTTATTTGGAATTTTAGCATTCACTCACTTCTACTGCTACCACATTTCTGAAATTCCATAGAGTTTTAAAAAAAACCCTACAACAGATGATGTGACTTTAAAGTTCTGCGAGCAAGGATTAGACCAATCCTTGTCAGTTAACTGACTATCTGGAGAACAGAGAAGAATCCTGTTCTCTAGAACATGTTATTTAAATCTAATCTAATAAACTGAAAAACATGTCACCAACACTAATCAGCCGGGGGGGGGGAGAGACAAGCAGGTGGCAGGCGATGGCGGAACCGGAAATGGCAGCAGAAGAGGGAATCCCAAGCATGGAGGTGCCGCGAGACCCCACTCTAGATCCACCAGCAGCGCTAGCTGCTCCAGATCCTGGCCCACGCTCTCAAAGCGCCAGCACGAGGTTTGGCTCTGTGTGTGTGTGTGTGGGGAGTAGTGATCTGGCAACTTTTGGCTCACGTGCCCACAGAAAGGGCTCTGTGTGTCAGCTGTGGCACGCGTGCCATAGGTTCACCATTGCTGAGCCAGGTCATGGTAGACAGAATTTCAGTTCTTTATTTCCTGCCTATTTCTGATTAGCTGCCTGTAAAATATTGAAAACTGCAAGTTAAAAACAGAAGCCCACACAACATTACTTTTAATCTTCACAATTTACTGAAACAAGCTTTACTTACGGTAAATCAGAAGATATTTTTCCCTTGATATCTTTCATTGCTACATAACCATATGATACAATACAGTATATGCAGGAGTATGTTCTGAACAATAAACTGGAAATCCTCATATATATATAAAAATACACATTTAAAGCTACAAAAATCTTTCAGTAAGAGCTATTTATTATAAATTGGGTCTTTTTTGTTCATACTTTTATAGCCCGGCTAGTAACAAGCTTATGTTATTCATATGCTACTGGAACAGAAATACTGAATTCTGCAACAGCTCATATGTTTGACAGTTTCCTGACTCTGTCTTGATTCCACAGTTGAACATATATTCCTTTTTTCTTTCAGCTATTAACTGGCTTGATTATATTAGAGATAAAGTATTATTCCTTGTTTTTCATTTGGATTCATCTCGAGCTAAAAAAGGCTTCAGACAAACACTGCTTAGGCTTGTCATATTTTAATAAGAACCACTTCCTCTCTATATTTCAGCACTACCTGTCTTGATAATTTGTTTAGTAAGGCTCAGATCTACAACAAAATATTGCAATGTCAAATGCTCCTGTTCATTGTTCGAGGTCATATACTTTTTCATGATACTCCATTCCATGCCTCCTGTCTTGCTTTCTACCTTCTTTCTCCTCATCAGTCAGAAATACAGGACCAATGAGCACATGTAGCCTCTTAAGTGAGCTGACCTTTAGTAAAGAGTCCCCACTCCAATGTAAACTTCCCCCTGATTTTTTGTAGTTCTGTAAATCTTCAGGTTTTCCCACATTTGCTACCATCATCATTTTATGCGCATAGCATCACTCTGCACAGAGAAGGAGCAGCACTTAGTGACTTGAAATCACCACTAGCATATATATGTATACATCAATACTCCAAGATTAAGCAGGTCATATTTAATACCGAAAATGTGAGGTTATGTTTCATTTCTCTAACCTTGCTCAATTCCTTGGAGGGCCTATTGCCAAGGAATTAGTCACTATTAAATCCTCTAAACACTAGCACACTTGGTTGGAGTCAATCAAATTTAGAACAGACCAACTGAAGTTAATGGGACTGAAGTTATTTGTTAATTTAAAACCCACTAGCAACAGTTCTATCATGAAAAACCTTGCATACAAGTGCAACTTGTACAAGCTGTTTTCGTGGTTTGCCCGCTAATTGCAAATCAATTATGCAACCAAAGAGTGGCCAGGCTTGCAACTGCCAGTAAGCGAACTGCCTCCCATTGTTTTTGTGATTGTCCTTACATGATCATATAACACAACAGGAATTTGGCCACTGAATTCAGTAATCTACTCTGGCAGAGTGTGGACACAATCCATTAACACCCCTGAAGATGACAGTCTAAAGAGGTTAAATATAAAGACTGGTAAGACTGGGGAACGAGAACTTTTCCTTTTGAAGCTATGATAAATCTAGTGTAGATAAAGAAAAGTAAGACTGGTTGTTGTGGGTTTTTCAGGCTCTTTGGCTGTGTTCTGAAGGTTGTTCTTCCTAAAGTTTCGCCAGTCTCTGTGGCCGGCATCTTCAGAGGACAGCACTCTGAATGTAAGGCTGCTCTTTAAAAAAGAGCTGAAAGCTTAACCACGCTGTTCCATTTCATAACAAACAAGGAAAACAAAACAAAAAGGTCCAAATCTGCTCAGATTTTTTGTGTGGAAAAAAAGGAGACCAAGTTCTATAGAATGCAAAGTATGTTTCTGTTTTGAAGTGACAATGTATCTTAAACAATTCCATGACAAAGATGAGGAAGCTACCAAATAAATTACTGAATAGTTTGTTGAATATGCATCAGCTGTTTTACTAGCTGTACATTTTGTGATATACTGGCCATTAAAAGAAGCAGCAATAGATAACTGAATTTTAAATCTAAGATAGTCTCTATTTATCATATTTTAAAAGTATATTTCTTTAATAAATATCTACTTACAAAATTAATGCCAGAGAGAAACATTGCAAAAGCAATATATATTTGAATAGATTTTTAATCCCCCCTTTCATTGATGATATAGGAATAATTTTAGCTTCCATAACCTTTCAAAATGATACAGCATACACCACTACTTCTGTTTTTCTTCCTCAATATTCTTAAATTAAAGCCAAGATGTTTTATCTTCTCGTACACTAAGACTAGAACCAAAGAAAATTTGCCCTGAACAGTTTCCTCACATATTTGAGCCATAAGTAAGCAGAGGGGGACAAGACATGTGTATAAAATTATACACATTAAGGAGGACATTGACAGGGAGAAATTTCTATCCCTGTCTCATAATATTATAGGATAAGTTTAGAAGAGATCAGACAAATTACTAGACAATGATGTCACCCATGACTACTAATAATTACTGACATAATCCTGTTGCTTTTGACCACGTGTGGAAGAGAAACTAAGGAGGCCACCATAGCTAATTTACCACATAAATCTGACAAAGTGCTCTCTGGATGTTGGTTGCACGCCTGGCATGCATCTGGTTACAGAACTGGAACCTACTCACAGCAATATCTGTGCTTATGGAAACCTTAGATTGAATACTAGTTGCTGGAGGATATGAGTAGGAGAATGCTCCTTCTAATTCCCAGAATTCTGCAGGAATTTCCTAGGCAGAATTCTGGGAAATGCAGCCACAGAACAGAAGTCTACAGGTGTAGTCTAGTAGTCCATTAGGCTCTACAGAGGTCTGCTCCCAAAGACCTAGCCCTTCCAGGAAGCCCCTGTGACACCCAAGAAGGACCAGGGCAGCTTCCTTGTTTTTGAATAGAGAACTGGGCTGAAAGATGTACTCATGAGAAAAGGTTGTTTGTATACTTCTATTCTGGGCTGCAAGATTCTGCTGCTTAGGAAATTCCTGCAGAATTCTGGCAGCTGGGAGTCTTTTTTTCAAAAAATACAAGTACCTAAGAACCACATATGTAACAAAGGAACAAAGATAACATAAGGCCAGACAGGAATTGAGATAATAAAGTTAAGATAAAACAAGGCAAACAACTGATCAGTGAAGCAAATTTTGTCAGAGGTCTATATAAGCACTTGGAAGAGATGGTATGTGAGCATCAGTGTTCACACAGCTAATAAAGGGTTACCAAAAATAAATAAATTCAAAAGTCACATCCTTAATAGCCACACACACAAAAATAATCAGAATAGTGATAGCTCAAAGTAGCTTCCTTAAGATAAACAATGTGATCTGCAACTAAAACCTAAAATGATTTTGAGAATGTCTATTTTATTCCAGTTTATGACAATTTTGCTTGCAGCAAGGAAAGCTGAACTTTAACGCAAACTACTACTAAAAATTTTACAAAAATTTGAAATGTGGCTTTTTTTGGATGATGCTAAGATTTTTTTGAACTAAGAGTGTGATTAATTTAGAATAAAGCAAATGAATAAAGATCAATGAATCATGAGACATAGAAATTATTCAAAGCTAGAATACTTTAGTCACCTAATTAAAAAAATGAAAAATTAAGCTTGTTATAACCAAGGTAAAATAAATATGAAAAGAAATACAGGGGGGAGAGGAAAGGCTTGGTTGAAGGACTCTAGAGACTGGTTTGGATGCAACACAATATCACTAATTCTAGAGCTGCCACAGTGAAAGCTAAAATACAGTAGCCACAATGCCATCCAGGAAGAATACAACAAGCACAAGAAAAAAAGGTGATGGAATAGTTCCCTCAGGCTGGCCCTGTTTCCATTTAACATCAATGTCTACAATCTTCTGACTAGTTATATTTTTCCCATGTATCAGTAAGAAAAACAGATTAACATGAGCATTTTCTATTCATGATTACATTAAATGACTGAGATTAATTGGGGACATCAACACACAGCAGTGATCTGTTACACTGCAGTACTAGATATGTAGTTAAAAACAGACTAAAAAGCAATTTAGGCTTTTGATTAGTGCTGGAACAACAACAATAAACGTTGGAAGGATAAAAAGAGGAACTTTCTAATTGAATGAAGCTTAAACTGATTAAAGTATTCACTTATAAGAAGTTCCTTAATTTGGGGAGTTTGAAAGGAAGGGAATGGCATACGAACTCATACCTTATTCATAGAGCAAAGTTAAAAATAAAGATTAAACTCAGATGCTCAAGGCCATTTTCTTTAGTTAACCAATAAAAAAAAGCCCACATAGGCCAGGATGTATTTACTATACTGTGGCTTAC